GAGGTCGATTGTGCAGGGGACTTGGTGCCGTTGCAAATCTGAGGGAAGCATGCGAGTATGCGGTGACCGTTCGGCGCTATTTGACTCGGGACTATACCATAGTAACTCACAAATGCGACTAGAAATGGATCAAGTGGAATCTGCATGCCGACCTTCAAGGAGTCAAGATGAACGCCTATCCACCTCTTGCAATGACAACTCATGACGTGGGGGAGGCTCCAGTCAATCTTGTATGTGACCTCCGCTCCAAAATGTTCTTTGATAAAGTCCACATCCTTGGTGGACAAGTTCAGAGGGGTGTCACGAGCACCTGCAGGGTCCAGAGTGACATATTTGACACCCGACATATCGGGCTTGCTGACCGACGACCCTTGGGGTTTGGATGAGGTACTTTCCCCTTTGTGCATTTTCTTCTTCTTCTTTTGAGTTGCCTTCGACGAGACGGACCGTATGGGGACAGCCGGACATGCCCTGGTCGGTCGCTCGCCAACCGGGCGAGCGGGGATAGCAAACCCATCACCTTCTAGACCCGAGGACGACCCCTTAGAATCACTAATTTCCTCAACTTCCTCGTCATCATAGTCGCGGGCGGAGAGATTCTAACTATCATCCGATGACATGCTGTGCGATAAAAAAGAGTAAAAATTGGTAAGCATAAATCAGCAATCGATCAAATTAAATCTCAAAGCTATGTTATAATCAAAGGAGATCAATACACTTTGATGAAGCAAAACTGATGGGAGCCAAGACGGGTGGAGCAACCGACCGGTCAACCATCCGGACGATCGACCGGATGGCGGGGTGATTGATCAACTAGGTAGCATAAACAAATGACAATAGCAAGGAAACAACTACAACAGTTGGCGCATGGTCGATCAGTTTAGCAATTGGACGATCGGTCTACAAAATGTGCAATTGGATGTTTGGTCTACAAAATAATGGATTGCGATTGGCGACGGATCAACAACAACAAGTAATTTGAAGCAAAGCAACAACAACAGTAATGTTGGGGCGATCGATCGAAAAAAAGAAAAGAATTAACAGTCGACCGACCTTTTATATATATATATATATATATATATATATATATATATATATATATAAGGGGAGAGCAGAAGTGTTTCATGTCCAAGAAAGCAAACAAATATATATACACATGCATACATTCATATATATTTGCAAGGGAAAAACACACGTGGTGCATGATAAGCATGGCACATGTACACACATTTAGTAGGAAAAGAAAGAAGCATTACGAAAGGAGAGTGGAGAAACATACGTAAGTTGGTGGCAGCGGTCGACGTACAAGAATTACGATCGGTCGGTCAGCTATGTGGAAGGACGGTTGACGTACGGAGCAGCGGGAACAGAATTCTCTTTAGCAGCCAGGGTTTTTTTCGGACGAAGAATAGGAAAAATATAAAACAAAGCAATGGAAAGGAAAAGGAAAGAAAAGCAAAAGGAAAGTGAAAATTTTTTACCTTGTAAGATGAAGAAAAATCTCAGAAAATCAGTTAAGCTAAGGAAAGTGAGAGTAAAAAATGAAGAAAAAATTAAGGGAGCTATTTATAGGTAGATGATGAGCTTGGAAGTTGAAGGGTCGGCCCGATCACGTGGAAAGCTCGGATTGCGACACGTGTCACAACATTGCGCATGCACCATCCGATCAAGACTGATGGGAATTTTTAAAAATTATCAAAAATTGTCCGGTAGACCGGAAGGAGAACAGCTGGCTGACCGGTCACCCTACGGTAGGATGACCGGATGACACCTTTTTCGTGACAAGCTGACAGGGAGAGTTACGGAGGAAATAGTTCTCACTTCTCGAACCCAACAATTCTCGTGGATTCAAGAAGTGGGGGACTCGTGATGGGTAAATACGTATAGAAGAATAATCCGTATGACCGGTCCGTCAAGAAGTCATCCGACCGGTCCGTTACGGTAATAATCCCGACAGGACTAAATCACTTGTGGTCAACCGCACCGTTCGTACCGATAGGCCTCGTGACAAGAGAATATGCTCTCGGATCACTCTTGGAATTGCCCCGACGGAAAATCACCCGACCAGTCTACCGTAGGGTGACCGGTCGGCCTGCAAGATGACGTAGCCTGCAGAGCCGAAAACGTAACTTGCACGACAAGTCTTGGGATGCAACTTGCACTTGCAGGGCGGTGATGGACATCTTGCAGGTAGGACGGCTCCGTCTCATCGATCAGTCAACCTACGCATAGCTGCAGAGCGACCGCCTGACTGAGCCAACGAGAAGACGCCACGTCGATCCACTTGCAGCAGGCGCATTAAATGCGTAGACCGACTCAAGCAGTATAAATAGGAGGATCTCCTCCTCACATCTCATCTTCATCTCATTGTAACTACTACTTACTACTTGTACCCTTCACCCTGTAATAGCAACCCGCTTGTAACCTATTACTTACTAGTTGCAATACTACTTAGCCTCGGACCGCTCAGTCGTCGCCCGGTAGTCCGACCGACCGACCGGCTGACCGTCGAGCGCTTCATTCTACTCGTTCACAAACATACGTATTCGTAGTATAACCGTAACCCCCGGTTCAATTTACGCTATCATTTTTATAACCGGGCTACAGGTCTCAAAGTAATCCCGGCTAGCAGTCTGTAAGAAGCCTTTTGCCACAAGGCGTGCCTTGTGCCGATCAACTGAGCCATCGGGTTTATGCTTGACACGGTAAACCCATTTATAACCAATGGGAACCGCAACACCGCGAGGAACAAGGCACCATGTTTTGTTACGTTGGAGTGCGTCAAACTCATCGTCCATAGCTTTCCTCCACCGAGCATCCTTCAAGGCCTGAGCGACGGTAGAAGGTTTTAAAGTGGGAGGTAAGGGATGTGTTGTGGCGTGGTTGATAACATAGTCATAATACCTGGGGTTAGGACAACATGGTATAGAGGAGCGGTGCAGCCCATCTTGTGACTGAGAGGTGTCGGACGAGGAATGTTTGGGTTGACTGGGTGGTTGACCGGCTGTAGTAACAGTGGGCGACGAACGACACGGAGGTGGTGACGAACGACGGCTGGTTTGACCATTTTCTAAGACAGTGGGAGATGATAAATTGGACGCAGCTGACGGTGATGGTGTTGGAACTGGTGTCGGAACTGGAGTTGGAACTAGACGCGGAACTGGAGTTGGATCGGGTGTTGGAACGGGTGTTGGAACTGGACTCGGAACTGGAGTTGGAGCTGGTGTTGGAACGGGTGTTGGAACTGGTGCTGGAACACCCACAGTCTCTACCTGTGTAGACAAAGGAGACGACTTGCACAAAATACGGTGTGATACGGAATCATGAGAATCAAAAGGTAAGCTGTTAGATGACTTTTGCAAATCGTTATAAGGAAATACATGGGGCACAAATCTAACATGCCTAGATACATAGATACGATTCGAACTGCAATCTAGGCATTTATAACCGGATTGGGTGTTCGAGTAGCCAAGGAAAATACACGGACGTGACCTCGGTTGTAGTTTCTTGGTGTTATAGGGACACAACCAGTGGAAACATAGGCAACCAAAAGGTTGTAACTTATCATAGTTGGGTGTTTGTTTGAACAAAACTTGATAAGGGGATTGATTACCTAATACCGACGTTGGAAGTCGACTGATGAGATAGACGACAACCTGAAATGCGTGAGACCAGTATGAAGAAGGCAAAGAAGCAGCGTGAAGAAGTGACATTCCACTTGTGACAACATGCCTGTGTCGCCGTGCAGTCATGCCATTGTGCTCAGGTGTATGTGGAGGAGTCAAAAAATGCGAAATGCCATGAGCATTGAGCATTAGAATTAATTTAATAAACTCCCCCCCCCCCCTGCCTGTCAGAATAAACTGACACAATTGACAGACCAAAAAATTTCTCCACTAACCTTTTAAACTGAGGAAAAATCAAGGAAACATCATACTTTCGTTTTAAAGGATATAACTAGACATATCTAGAGAAGTGATCTACAAATATAACATAATAAGCGAAGTCATCAATAGATTTTTCCGATGTGCCCCATACACCAGTGTAGACCAGTTGTAGAGGCCTAGTGCTAACAAGTGTGCTTTTGGAAAAAGGTAATTTATGACTTTGTATACATTGCATGATTGGCAGGAAAACTTATTTAATGCTGACATAGATATGGGAACGTTACAGTGTTGCAACACACGATGCAACACCTTATTAGACGGATGACCAAGACAATGGTGCCACTGGGAAACGCGAGACAACTGCATGGAATTGGCTGTGGGTTGATACAGGAGAGGTCGATAATATACACCATCAATGTTCACCCCCCGTAGTAATGACATCCCCGTTCGAAGATCCTTCACAAGAAAGTGGGAATCAAAAAATTCAACCGACACTTGATTAGTTTTGCACAATTGCGATATGGATATTAAATTATTATGCAATTGTGGAACACGTAAGACATTTTGGAGAGTGAGCACGGAATAGGAAGTGAGAGAGTGAGAATAGATGACTGGCCAATGTGAGAGATGTTTAAAGAATTACCGTCGCCCAGTCGTATCCCATCAAGACCATTATACTTAGTGAAAGTGTGCAGAGGAGTCATATCCGGTGTGGCATGGTGAGATGCCCCGCTGTCAAACATCCACGGCGTAGTCGATCCCACGGTAGAATTAGCTGTTGGTGACTGAGACTGAGGAAATGGATGAGCCTGCACGGGAAACACGTTATGGGCCTTTAAAAATCGGGCTAACTTACGGCAAACACGAGTTTCATGGCCAGTAAGGTGACAGAACTGACACACAACACCAAGTCGAGTGTTGCTGTTGTGCGACCAATTCGGTCTATTATTGCCATACGTGTTGTTGTTGTTGTTGCGGGACCTCCGATCGACAGTGGAGTGCTGAATATTTCGAGAAGCCGAAGGACCACGCTGGGAGGCATTAGCAGTAGCCAAAAGAGATTGGCGAGTATCATCAGCTTCAGCCAACTGACGTTCATGATCCGTGAGGACATCAGCTAATTCCCCACAACGGAATGGGCTTGTCACGGATACGAACTGCAGAGACGATAGAACTATACTCGTCTCCTGGTTGTGTTAAAACGTACACAACCATGTCTTCATCTGAAACAGGACATTGAGCCAGGGCGAGATTGTTAGCTATAGACCGCATGTCGCTCAAAAACGCGGTGACTGATGGACTACCCTTCGGGTTCCTGGAAAGCTTAGCCTTGAGGGAGATGATTCGTCCTCGGGAGGCACTAGCGTAGTTAGCAACGAGCTGTTGCCAGGCATCAGATGCTGTTGAGGCGGATGCTATAAGGGGTTGAATAGTGTCTGAACAACTCCCAAGTAAGGCGCTGGTGATTATCTGATCTTGGCGATACCAAGTTAAGTGTGCCTGGTTAGGAGTTGTTTGTGCAGTATCAGTAAACTTAGTTGGTTCTTTGATAGAACCGTTGACGTATCCGAAGAGATTAAAGCCAATCAGTTTGAACTGAACTTGGCGTCTCCAGATAGGAAAGTTGATGGAGGTGAGTTTGATAGGGAAATTAGATGGAGCATTAAGCTGGACAATATCATTAGTGGTTGTAGCCATGTTTAAAGAATGGCGAAAGGAAAAGAAATAAGAGGAAAAAAAAAAAAAACTCCTTAGGGGATTATGGCTCTTGATACCATGTGAGGAAAGAAACTGTACCTTTATTGATGTAAAGTATGAGCTATATATAGTACATAAAAATAAATAAATATAACGACCAAACTGGTGTCGCCGATTTTCTAGCCAAGGAGAATGTCACTGGTCGCATTCTCCTTTGCTGGAGAAATCGAAGACACCAGTTTGGTCGCTGGCTTCTCCGTAAAAAAAAAAAAAGAAAAAAATATATACAAGTGGGACTTGTGTATATGTTTGATCAGGACAGACATAAAAACACATTTTTCAATTGTCTTTTTCTTAATTTTGTCCTACTTTTGAAAACGTCCTCTTTTTTTTTTTTTTTTTTTTTTTTTTTAAGAAACTCCCAGAAAAACGTCATATTTTTTTAAGAAACTCCCGCTTAAGGAAGGATCAAAACCTAATTAGTCAAAGTAGCCGAAACTCAAGGGTGTATTCAATCCAGACTTTTAAAGAGATGGATTTTAAATGATTTTTGTAGAGATTTTGTAAACTTTCATAGAATCTTTTAAACTTTCATCAACTTTGAAAGAGTCTTTAAAAATCCATAAGACAAACACTTATAGACTTTTAAAAAAAATTTCATATTAAAAAGTCTACAAAAGTCATTAAAATTCTAAATTAAATACACCCTTACAAACATTCCATAACTTCTATTAATACATTATTTATAATTTATGTACAAAAATATATTTATATAAATCATAACTAAATTAATGCATTGCAAAAAAAATAAAAAATAAATATTAATTGTTACAAAAATAGATTATATTATACATAAAGAAAATATAATCAATTTTCACTAATATAACCAATAAAGAAGATTTCTGCTGCGAAATTTCTTTATGTAAAGAAGATTTCACGAATGCGCATCAAGAAATTTCTTGTTGCTGTTCGCAGCAAACACAAAATTGAATAAATAATAATAATAATAAAAGTTACAACGTATACTATCATGAAAAGTTTGAGACGTACCGGAAAATGATGAAAAATTTTGTTTGATTTAGATAGAGAAAAAAAGTTTATAGAGAAAACTAAAAAGTTTGGGGTTGGAAGATCGGATTTCATCTATTTATATTAAGGAATAAGGGTCAAATAGGCCATCGAACTGCACATGATAATGCAATTAGGCCACTGAACCTAAAAAACCAACAATTAGGTCCCTAAACTAACCAATTTCAAACAATTCTTCCAATTTCAAGGTTTCCAACAGGTCAACAGGTCATCCTCTCAAATTAATTGTTTGTTTAAAAAAATAAATTTTAAAAAATAATTAATTTTAAATTTTGTTTAAAAAAAACAAGTTATCTCCGGCCAGTCCTGTTTTTTTTTTTTTTTTTTTGTTTATTTGTTTATTTTTTAAATTTAAATAATTAATTTTAAAAATTTATTTTTAAAAAATAATTAATTTGGAAGGATGACCTGTTGACCTGTTGGAAACCTTGAAATTGGAAGAATTGTTTGAAATTGGTTAGTTTAGGGACCCAATTGTTGATTTTTTAGGTTCAGTGGCCTAATTGAATTATTGTGTACAGTTGGATGGCTTATTTGACCCTTATTCCTTATATTAATGAAGAAAATGTCTACATAAATTCTATTCTGATAGAGTTTATGAGAGTTGACAAATATTTAAATACCAATAAACTTTTAAAAGTCTGAATCAAATATCAATTTAAAAGTCTAAATTGAATAACACTCAATTTTAAAAGTCATTAAAAATCATAAAACTCTTAAAAGGTCTGGATTGAATACACTCCCCTCAGTAAGAACGAAGTGACGAAACTGACTGCCGCAGAACTGCAGAAGTGTGGATGCTCTAAGCGTCCCTCCGCCACTGCGACTGCCCTCTAGCCGACCGCCGAGAGCCGTCGCCCACCGCCAGTCCGCTACTACCCTTTGTCACTATATAGAGGTATTAGAATCTGCAAGTCCGTGTATATTATCCTTAAATATATGAATAATGAATTTAGATTTGATATCAAATTGGTGAAGTTTTTATTTGATTTATCCATTTAAATTATCAAGTCCAATTGTTAATTTATTTGTGTGTGGTCAAGACAACATTGATGAAGATAGTTTTTGTTTGATTTATTTCTTAATTTATTACAGTATTTCATTTATACTGTAGTTTCTAATTTATTTACGAATTGACGAACATATAGATGTGCTTGAAACTTGCTGAGTTGATGAATGTTGTTAGATAGATTAATTAAATGTTGTTTTGTGGTTGAGTTATGGTTTCTTTTAATTTTTACCCCCACTCAGCAATTTTCTTTTTTTTTTTTTTTTTTTTTTTTTTTGGGGCCATTGTTTAAGGTTTAAGCCCTATGGCTAGGAAGTATCTGCATTCTGACTCTAGTGCTTCAGATGAGGAAGGTGAAATACGCGGCAGACATCACTCTAGTGATGAAGAAGCAGCTGAAGGAGAAAACGAAAGGAGTAGGTCTGAGCACCAAAGAGAAGGTGGAGATAAGAAGTGCAGCTCTAGTTCCGACCACGATACCTCTCCCCGAAAAAGTGATAGAAGAAGGAAGCACTCTGATGGGTGTGAAGTCACAAGGAAAGATGAAACAGCGAAGGGAAAGGGAAGAAGTAGAAGAGGCAGAGATGATACTGACAGGCAGGAAAATGGAAGTAGAAGAGACAAGGACGAGAATTACCGGACTAGGTATAGAGATGAAGAAAAGTACAATGGTAGAGATAGAGATTATGAGCGGATGCGTAGAAGTGGTCATGAAGGGGATAATAAATACGAGAATGGGCACTGGAGGAGACAAGATGATAATCATGATGATGATGATGTTAGGGGTAGGGAGCGTAAATCACAGCACCATGACTCTGAAGATGAGAGTAATAAGAAAGTGGAGCGGCAAAGGCATTTGGACAGGATGGAGGATGATGGTGGACAGAATGTCAAGAGGGAGAATGAGCAACAGAAGGAGTGCAAGGACTATGATGGGAATGATAACAGAAGGGAAACTGACCGCAGGGATAGGCACAGGGAGGATCGTTATAGGGATTCTAGTCGAGAAGAACGTAGGAGGGAGAAAGAAAGAGATAGGAAGGTTAATAGTGCAGAGGATAGTGAAAAAGGTAAGAGGTATAAAAGCAAGAAAGGGAAGTATGATAGGGAAAAGTATAATAATGAGAGCAAACAAGAACGTGCAGATAATGCAAAGTTGAATGAGGATTCTAAAGTGTCAAAGCAAGAAGGAAATATGACTATGGAGAATGCCAATTTGGGGAGAAGTGGAGGAGTTTATATTCCTCCTTTCAAGTTGGCAAGGATGATGAAGGAGATACAGGACAAAAGCTCTGTTGAATACCAAAGAATGACATGGGATGCTCTTAGGAAGAGTATAAATGGGTTAGTGAATAAAGTGAATGCGACAAATATAAAGAACATCATTCCGGAATTGTTTGCAGAGAACCTGATTCGTGGAAGGGGTCTGTTTTGTCGGTCGTGTATGAAGTCCCAAATGGCTTCTCCTGGTTTCACAGATGTATTTGCAGCATTAGTTGCTGTTGTAAACACTAGGTTTCCAGAGGTGGGTGATCTTCTTTTGAGGAGGATTATATTACAACTTCAAAGGGCCTATAAACGTAATGATAAGGTTTGTGCCACTTTCTGTTCTTGGCCTCCATTTGTTTTGTTCATATTGGTAGTTTATAAGGAGTATATGTTAATCTTCTAATGCAATTGTCATATTTATTTGCAAAAATGAGAGGAAAGACGAGAAGAGGAAGGGTGGGGGTGGGGGAACAAAAATTAAAGTTGACATTCTATTTTGCATAGGAAATCAGATTTCAGTCATGTGGTAATTTCTATTGCTGATTTCATGTATTTACATCCTTGGTGTACTTTCTGTGCAGCCCCAGTTATTGGCAGCTGTTAAATTCATTGCTCATCTTGTGAACCAGCAAGTAGTTCATGAGCTCATTGCTCTGGAATTACTTGCTGTTTTACTGGAGAATCCCTCTGATGATAGTGTTGAGGTAGCAGTTGGTTTTGTTACTGAGTGTGGATCCATACTGCAAGATCTCACTCCCCGCGGGTTGCATGGTGAGCAAACTTTCCTATTTATGTACTCCATAATCTGATAATGGCCTATCTTGTAGTTTATGTGTTTTGTCCATTTTACACACAAGTGATTTGTTTAAGCAAAGTGATTTGGCGGTCTGATATTGAACTTGATTATTGCTTCGAGATTCATATACGTTTCCATCACTTTGCTTGACTTTGAGATTAATGCAGCTTTTTCCTTTTTCTTTTTTACTGTTTCTTTTATTTTATTTTTAAATATTCCTTCCCCTCCAATATTGTTATTTTAAAGGTTTTGATATTTGCCCTTGAGACTTTCTTGGCTTATATATGTCTTTGTTGTGTGCCTGTGAAATGCTTTTTTTTTGGATATGCTATTGATGATGGTGTGAGTGCCACCTCCAGAAGTTCCTTTCACTTTGTGTTTTGAGGGAGGCGGTTGGGAGCTAAAGGGGTGGGATAGTTAGTTTAATTACCACTACTTTTGTTTGCAGCTAATCCTTGTCTGTACACTGCACTTCTTTAGCATATTGTAAAATAAGTAGGGAAAAAGGAGATAAAAATAGAAGGAAAACTCATATATTTGACTTCATATTTGGGAAGTAATGGACTGGCTTGATAACTCTTGGAGATTTTGCCCATGTGTATTGTGATTTTAATTAGCACTGATGGTAGCAGTTGCCCATATCATACAGATTGTGTAATGGATAAATTGCTGCAAAGATTGAGGTTTGCTAGATCTACCTAGATTTGAATTCTCATCTAAGCTGACTTGTTTTTGACTGGTATATAAATCCTGTTTTCTACCTAATTCAACTGGTTAAACATGATTATGTTGCTGTTGCCATTTTCAATTCCCTATATTTATACTTTTAGAGTGACTTCAATTCCTGAGGAAGGGTCTACATTCTCTTTTGTTTTTTGTTTAAGATGCTAATGTTGAAATTTGCATTTTGTTTACTGAATTTGTGGATACCTCTCCTTCTGCTTGCAGAAACTTGTACTCTTTGATTATTTTAATGAATTTGCCTATATGAATATCTATTTAATTAGGCATCTTTGAGTGGTTTCGTGGGATACTTCATGAAGGAGAGATAGATAAAAGGGTTCAGTTCTTAATCGAAGGCCTCTTTGCATTACGTAAAGCAAAGTTTCAGGTAAACTAAATCGTATATTACTCCCTTCCCGTTATAGGGGTGTCCCTTTACTGTTTTTTTTTTTTTTTTTTTTTTTTTTTTTTTTTTTTTGGGTTCAATTTGAGCATGTATCAACTCAAGTTTTTTATTCTGGTAATATTATTTTTTGAAAATAAAATTTAGAGATTAAGAAAAGACATAAAGATTACACCTCTTTTCAAGAATTGAAATCTCAAAATTTTAAAGAATCGTCTTAAAAATTGGTCAATGTTATGTTGCATTTACCATTGGGAACGGAAAGGGACAACTGGACATAGGAAGTGCTAGTTTAGGTCAATTTATGATAAAATGATAAAATGTTAGCAAAGTAAGAGTCTTGAATTGGTTACTTTATATGAATTCTTACACAGGGGTACCCTGCGGTACGTCCAGAACTTGATCTAGTAGAGCAAGAGGATCAGTTGACTCACGAAATATCTTTCCAAGATACTATAGATCCTGAAATTGCTCTAGGTATGCCCTCACTTTCTCAGATACTATTGATACTAGTCACTTTAGGTATCTCTGGTATGTCTCAATAATTGCTCATTATATTTCAATAGAATATGTGTGATTTTGATGCATATCTTTTTTCATTGTGATTGTCAATGCACAGATATCTTTAAGCCAGATCCCAATTTCGTAGAGAATGAAAAGAAGTATGAAGAATTGAAGAAGGCAATCCTAGGTGAGGAGGAATCTGAGGAAGAAGGGGATTCTGGTGCCGAGTCTGGAGATGAGGATGAGGATGAGGATGGGGATGAAGATGAAGATGAAGAAGAGGATGAGGAGCAAATGAAAATAAAAGATGAGACAGAAACAAACTTAGTCAACCTTCGGAGAACTATCTATCTGACAATTATGTCAAGCGTCGACTTTGAGGAAGCAGGCCATAAGTTGTTGAAGATCAAACTCGAGCCTGGTCAGGAGGTTGGTTTTGTGAATGTTTCTTTTACATATCTATTTTATTTTCTTTTCACTGTTTGTTTCCAATTTAACTGATGATTCATACTTGACCATGACTATTGCAACAGAAGGAATTTATCATTCTATTGGCATCTAATTGGTATGCAGTATGCTATGCTATTTTAGTGTTGCAGTTCATGCCTGATTACCCCTTCCCCACAAAGAGAAAGGGAGGGTGGTAGGGCTGCAGTTAAAAAGAAAAAAACTATAATGGATGTTGACAAAAGTAGGATATGAACACATTTTGTGTTTATGACATTTTTATGCAAATAAGATAGTTTTGTAACATGATTGGGATCTCTAAAGTCTAAACATCTTGAGGCAATATACACAAAACTATTCCTATGCCTAAAATTAAATAGATTAGGCCGCAATTTGTATTCTGGTGGATTTGTTAAGTTAAAGTGGTGCACTCGTACTTCACGTAGATTATCTCCCATCCTAATTTAGTGGTACTCATTGATTTTACACATTTAGGAGAAATGGTTTATGTTTTGTAGGAGATGGGGTATGATGATTTACTTTCTGGGTATTGATTGGTTGAAAAGTTCGAACTTCGAAGGTGATTAATGTTAACTATTGTATGGTTGGTTATGCCTAGAGAAGTAGGTTGGTGTATATATTTTATTTAATTTGTTTTTTTTTTTTTTTTTTTTTTTTTTTTTTTGGGGAAATTGTTTACACTTTGTTGGTTTTAAATGTATATGTTATGATTCAGGAAATCAGGCAAAGAAAATCATGAGATTGATTAGTTGATTCTAAAATATCTTTGCTATTTGAATTGATTTATTTCCTTTATATATATATATCAGGGTTGCAAAAATCCCGCCTAGACCGTGGCGATTTCGCCCCTAGGCTCCCGCCTAGGAGACTGGCCGCCTAGGCGTCCGCCTAGCGCCTAACTCGGCCGATTACGCCGAGTTAACTCGTCATTTATATATATATATATATATATATATATATATATATATATATATATATATATATATATATATATATATATATATATCTCTGTGTGTGTGTGTGTGTAATATGACATATATGCACCTACACACGTGCACTGTTTTTCATTATTTCAGTTAGCCGCCTAGGCGACCGCCTAGGCCGCTTAGGCCCCGCCTAGACCTTCTAGGCGCTAGGCGCTACTCTACCGCCCGACTAGCGCCTAGCGCCTATTGCAACCACGATATATATATATATATATATATATATATATATATATATATATATATATAATAATTGTGGTAAGGAACCTTAATGATTCTCCTTTCCTTTTTAGGTTTTAATTTAGTCTTTGTAACCCTCCTATAAAGGGGATTTTCATTCTAATAAAAGAGACAAGAAGTTAAGATAAAATCAGAGGTGGGAAAACTCTCAAAACATTCCCAGTATCTTGTTCTCCAATTAAAGTCAGCTTTTGTCTTTCCTCCCTCGTTCCTTTATGGCTTGTTTGGTAGGCTGTAGTTGTAATTCAACTACAGCCTAATTCTTTGTGGAGCACAACTACATTGTTTGGTTGGATGGAATTGCAATTCCCTCCTATTGTGGAATTGAATTATTATTATTATTATTATTACACAAGGACATTTTAGTCTTTATATCACTTATTCCCTTTCAATTCCTAGTAACTCTATTCCTGCCTACCAAACAATGTAATTTGAATTCTTACTTTATTACTTCATCTCTCAACATAGGCAACCCCCAAAAACCTCCAATAGTGTTAATCCCCCCTGTGATGCATGTGTTTGCCCGAGAACATAACAGTTTATATGGTAAGACTGGAAATGTGAAATGGGCTGTATTACTGTTAAATTGAGAATAGGACTTTGTTAGACGTTATATTGTTACTAGTTTTTCTTGGTGATTACTGGTGTGAACTAGTTTTTTGAGATGCTTCTCTTGATGGTTGATTTTGTTTTTAAAATTTTTTTTGGCCTGGTCAATGATTGGGTTCATTAGTAACTCTGGTGTATTTCTGTTTGTCTGTGCCAGATGGAGTTATGCATAATGCTTTTAGAGTGCTGCAGTCAGGAGAGAACTTACCTCCGTTACTATGGTCTTTTAGGGCAGCGTTTTTGCATGATCAACAAAGTTCACCAGGAGAACTTCGAGACGTGTTTTGTGCAACAGTATTCAATGATTCACCGTCTGGAAACTAATAAACTTCGAAATGTTGCCAAGTTTTTTGCACATCTGCTTGGAACTTATGCATTGCCTTGGCATGTTCTGGCGTACATCCGGCTTACAGAAGAAGACACTACCTCTTCTTCTCGGATATTTATCAAGATTCTCTTCCAGGTAACTGCTTGATTAATTATATTTCCCTTTGTATTCTCGTTTATACTTTGTCTTTTCTTCAGCTCCTCATATTCTTAACTCATGATATATTTGTGTTCCTGATTTTTATTTATGTCTCTTATTTTTGTTGTATGATGTATGAACCTGCCTGCAATGACCCCTTATAATCCTCAGTTGCCTCTTCAGTTTTGGCATAGTCCATAATAGTTATTTGTATGTTCCCAAATAATTTATCCTGACAAATATTGTTCAGTATAGGGATATCATCCTCTGTTTGACTTTCTTTTTAATGCAAAATTAGTTATTTTGTATATAGATACTCTTTACCTTGTGGAGGTAAATAATAGTAACTTCATTAGTGCTTTTTTTAATTATGTTTGAGATTTCTGGGCGTGAGCCATTATTTATTCCCAGCATCCATAGGCTTCTATATCAAATATAAAAGAAAGCATAATTTTCCTTTGTTTATATGCTATTCCGTATTTATATTCATTTTACATTGATTTCTTGTTCAGGAATTGTCGGAACACCTTGGAATCCGCTTGTTGAATGAGCGTCTTAATGACCAAACAATGCAAGAGTCTTTTGAGTCAATATTTCCAAAGGATAATCCCAAAAACACTCGTTTTGCAATCAATTTCTTCACATCCATTGGTCTGGGTGGGATTACAGAAAATCTTCGGGAATATTTGAAAAATATGCCACGGCTAATCATGCAACAACAGAAACCCGTATCTGGATCAGACGCATCTGAGAGCTCTGGCTCTGATTCTTCGGAGTCTGAGTCGGGATCTGAATCATCCAGCTCCGAAGAGGATACACGAAGGAAACGGAGGAGACATTAGTGATGTGTCCAAATGTTTGACTGTGTATATAAATTGCCCTTCGTAGTGTAATTACATTCACTCGGGAATTCATAGTTATAGTCTAGAGTTGTGGATATTTTGTAGTTCATGGTGAGTTTTCTTTCCGAATTTCATATAGGGATGAGGGTAATATGCCCTTTTACTTGTAACGAAAATGCAGTTAGTTCATTCTAGTTCTAGTCAAATAGAGTATGCAATTGGAGATCATTCTACTCCACTTTGGCTAATGAAGCTTTATTACTTGTTAGTTGTGAGAGAAAAAGAACAAAAAGGCTACATGAGGGAACACACTATTTGACTAATCATTTTTGTTGTGGATTTGATGTTATTTTATTCACACATTGAAGTTATTATAAGACTGCCTGGATTAGATGTGTTTTTGGTATAAGTTTATTCTTATTATATTGCAGGTTTATTTTTAATGTATTATAGATTATAGATTTATTTTTGCTTGCAATACATTAAAATGAACTTATTTCAAAATATAATGAACCTATTAAAAATAAATATTGTATCACAGTCTATATTGTAAAATAAACTTTGGGTACATAATATAATTGGAAATTTTGCTTTAATGCCATTTGCATTATTATTAGATTAAGGACAAATATAGGAAAGTTCAGTTTTGCTTTAATGCCATTTGCATTATTAGATTTAAGGACTAATACTATAGGCTTAAATGACATATTTGGTAGAGAGGAATTGCAATTCTTTTCTCACTTAATTTCAAGAAGTGAAAAATTTCAGAGTTTGATTAGGAGAAATATAATTGCAAGATCAAGAGTTTGATAATACAACTAAGATCCAAATAATATACACAACAAGAAAAATTCGCAGCTTCCTACACCATAATCTCATTGCATGACGTTGTCATCTATGCTAGCAATAGTAACTCAATTGCAAATAACACACTACAAAAAAAAACAAAGATGACAAATAGTGAAGATGATGAAGACATTGACAATGCTACTCAAAAGAGAAGTAAGAATACTTAGAAAAATTCAAACCAAAAGTAGTATTTATTTAGACTACCGTTTTTAACTAAGTAGTTAGACTATCGCTTTTATAAAGTTGCAAACATTTATTTTAGTGATAATTATAATGAATATATCCTATATTCTTTTTTTATTCATATAGTTACATATTTAAATAAACAAATTCGACATTCAATTACCTATGTAAGAACTTCTCATATATAATCTTCCATTGATAATTTGATATACTTTCACATACATACTTATTTAATTATAAATATTGGACATTAACTCATTCGTGCAATGCGCGTGTAAAACTAGTATTAGTATAAAGATTCAAACTCCTCTATATGATAGTGATATCTTTCTTCTTAAATATTGTGAAATCAATGTCTCAATTAGGGTTCAAATTTGTGATATTTTACTTGAAAAAGTCACAATTATATCACTTAACCGCAAGACCTTTGACTAAAAAAGTTAAATTTTAAAAATAGAAACTCCATGAAATTAATATTCATGCAAACTAAATGGGCCAATGTTTGGAGTTTCTAGAGTAAAAAATGGTTAAAAATAGACATGAAGTTTCTAGCCCTGCATAGTGTGTCCTTAGTTTATATTTATTTTTTTGTTAGTTAATTAATTGATTTAGTTTTCCCTAACTAGGGTAGGACTAGGGTGGCGTAAGATATACCCATAAATATCTTAAATTTGTATTAATTTTGGAAGAAAATCTAATACCGCCTCAGAGATCCTCATATGTGAGTGGAGTCGACTTTTTCCTAAGTATTACAATTTTTTTCATTAATATTATAATTTTCTTCATAAATAACATTTTAACCCCTAATATTACAAATTTAATTTAAAAGTATTACATTTTTTCATCAAAAGTATCACATTTTTCCTCATAGTTATTACACTTTTTTTCGTAAGCAACAATCAATCAATTCATTCCAGATTAGTATTATACTTTTTCTAATAAGTAATTGTTCAATCCGTGAATGTTATATTTTGATTTAAAAGTATTACACTTTCCCTTATAGCTAAAAAAATATTTTATTCCTAATTAGTATTACATTTTTTAACATAAATATTATATTTTCATCTTGACTCGATCCATCTCATGAATAAAGATCATTGAGACAGTCTCACAATAAACACACTCTTAATTTTGAGATCTTTTTCCTTACTAAATGAAGACTCAGTTTCTTTTCAATTTGTTGGACATCTATCTCTCTTGCCTTTCATGTGTGATCTCCATTTTTGAATTGGTTGCTAACAAAGAATTGTGTTATTGTGTTCTTAATTAGTTGCCTTTCATATGCCTATAAATATGTTTTTCTTTGAGAGACTAAGGTGTATCTAGCAAAGGATTAGAGCCATCCACTATATAACCATTTTGAGGGTAATAACACCATGGCCAGCTCACATTGAAACACGTATTTAGAAGGTTAATTAAATAAAAACAATGAATTAGTGATTATGAATAATGTCAATTCAATACACTCTTATATGGTAATCATGTAATAACGTCGCATTTAGTTAGGGTTGGGTGGTGATTTAGAGGGACAATTCTAACATCCCATTATCTAAACGTGGCACAGTTGTGTAAATATAAGAAAATAAAGTTATATATTTGCTATGAGTTATAATTTTTGACATAGTGATAAATGCTTAATCCAAATAATTCTTCTTCCAAAAGGTTGAACCCCAACTCGACAGAGCATTTGGGAAGATGTATAAATCATGGTGACTCAACTGAACATGAACCACAAAGGCTAGACCAGTGCTTACTGCGCACAAGGAGCCCCCCTCACTTTGAGAGGTTGCTCCCACACTGCAGCTAGTGAAACTCAATCCCTAGTCATTCTTTCAAAGTTTCACCTCTATGACCAATTGAGCTACCCATGCAGGCCTTAATCTCAATAATTAGTATTGTATGTAGGTGCTCGAAGAGGGGAGAAACGTAGTGTTGATTGCTACACAAGTATAAGCCCGAAAATAAATCTACACAAATCCAATTGAAGGCATGCTATGTAGTTGGTCGGGGCTCATAGACTTGGCGTAATATAGTGTTGTACGTTACTGATCGATTGCGCTACCATGGCAAAGAAGTTCGAAAGGATCTCGTTCAATCATATCTTTTGAGAGGGAAATCAATGTGCTGATTTTTTTTAGCAAACTTAGCCCAGAATAAAGACTGGAGCACTTGGATCTTTCAAGATGCTCCAAACAGGTTGGATAGCTTCCTTATTTGAGATGTTGGTGGTTCTTGCACCCGTAGAATTAGATAATTTCTTGAGGGCTAGCCTCTCTTTCTTCAAAAAAAAAAAAAAAAAAAAAAAAAAAAAAACTAAACACTTGATCATAATGATTAACTATACCTATATATATGGGAAGGTTCAACCGTTCCGGTGAGAACATGCTCTCATGTAAAAAGTGAGGACTAATCTAATCGATCAATCTAAGTAGATTAATGATTGAGTTTTCAATAATTATAAAATTGACTCGCAAATTTTTTTTTTTTTACTAAAATTCTCAATCATTGATAAACCTTGATGGGCGGCTGAGATTAGTCATCACTTTTACAGGAAGACCCTGTTCTCATTTAATCCCCCGCACACACACGTGCGCGCACACACACACACACGCACACGCACACACACACGCACACGCACACACACACACACACACACATGCAGACAAATCGGGACCGTTGGATGAGCTCAGATCAGTAGTTGAAAATCAATAAAAGTGAAAAAAAAAATACAGACACACACATGCAGACAAATCGGGACCATTGGATGAGGTTAGATCAATAGTTGAAAATCAATAAAAATGAAAAAAAAAATACAATGACATTTTGGTAATTTTACGCACCAAGTATATTTTTGTGGTGCACTAAATATCGGTCTGTGGTGTACTACGGGTTGCTCTATGGTGCATCACCAAATATTGGTCTGTGGTGCACACGGGAATGCTTGACGGTGCATTGGACTCAAAGCACCATGAAACATATCTAACTATTAGATTTCAGCGTTGCATTATTCTTATACATTATGCATGTTTACTTCCCAGGGGGTCACACCCATCATGTGATTGATGTAAGTCAAATAAACACGCTTAAGCATTATGTTTACTTCCTAGGGGGTCACCCATCATGTGACTGGTGTAAGTCAAACACGCTTAATCATAGAGTTCTTTGGCTATCTAGTTGTCATATCATACTTAAAACCAATTGGTGATAAGTAGGTGGACACTATCCATTTAACTACATCCCTCCATGGTAAACCACAACGCCACATCTCGAATCGAGCAGGGGCTGAACGTGGCAAAACCCGACCGATGCCCAAAAATCCCCCTCCCGGTACCTGCCGCAACCTAGCCTCCGCGCCCACTAATCCCACACCCAGGACAGGACTTGGCCCGACCTACGTCCACATCCCATGTGGGACTGGACTCGGCTTTCGCCTCACCATCGATTCGAACCCGTGACCTCGACTCTGATACCAATAGTTAGATCTTTGTACTGCATTATGCTTACTTCGCAGGGGTCTCCTATCATGTGACTGCTGTAAGTCAAGCACGCTGAACCATACAGTTCTTTGGCTATCTAGTTGCCATATCTAACTTAAAACCAATTGGTGATAAGTAGGTGGACATAACCATTTAACAACATCCCTCCATGGCCAACCACAGCGCCACGTCTCGAATCGAGCAGGGGCTGAACGCGGTCAACCCGGCCGATGCCCAACACTAACTACACCAGCATATCATTGAAATTATCAAAATGCGACTGTATTTTTTTTCCCTTTTTTTTTTTTTTTTTTTTTTTTTTTTTTTTTATCGATTTCTAACCATTAATATGAGTTCATACCATCACAATCTATCCGCATGTTCGCATGAGAGGAGCCATCCGAACCCAGAATTAGCCCTATATATCAAACACATTTAGTTCCCTAATTCAAGCATTAAGCTTCATCTTTCTTCAGCATAATACCAAAACCTTTTCGATCTCTATATGTTGCATATCCAAAAAAAGAAATAAATAATTATAGAAAATAAATCTTGTAAATACTATATATAGATAGAGATAATACAATTAATAACTCATTAAACTTAACTCTAGCCCTAACAGGGAAAAATTAGCTAAACAATGCAAACACAATAAATAAAGACAGCATATATATCTAAGTATATAAATAATAGGATATACCAAATTATTAACTCCCTCAGCTCCATTGACTCTAATTAACTTGTAAGACAAGTATATACA